GGAGGATATTTTCCATTTCAAAAATGTCAATATCCATTTCGGTTAGAACTGAAAAATTGTTCCATAACTCAGACTAGTTTTTGATTTTGATATTGTCCCGAGATAGGGGAGCGAATTTTTTTTTTTTCTTTTTTTTTTCAAATCTAATAAGGTACCAATTTTTTTCATGTACATGCACGTACGTAGCGACACGTTGGAAATTCGGTGTACGAAATTTGGATTCCCTATCACGAAACTTTCCAGTCAAACAGTTTCCAAAAGGCCATTCGCTTCGCTGACCGCGTAAATCCCATGTTGAGATAGTTTTCCTAGCTCGAACCGAATGCGGTACTTTTCATTTTCCTGTATATATACATATGTGTATGATACGTCTAGAACTGGTATTGAAATGCATTCCAATAATCTATATCGTTGCTGTGTCGTGTTGCCAAACACCTTGTGAATACAGAACTGGGCTACGTATTTTGAATATGTGGACATACGAACGTGTACCCACTATGTTCGAAATAGCTTAGGGCAGAAATGCTAGCAATATATCATAACTTTACACTGAAGGTTCCTAGCAGTTGTCAATATGTGTTTATATATATGCTACAGCAGATGCGTATACAGTTATGAATATCGATAAACATCGATCCAATTAATATAATATGTATAAAACGTCATCATGGGCCTTTTGACCTGCGTCAATAGAAATGCCAATGAGGAAGTGAAATATTGGAGATAATTTATCGAATTTTCGTTCCACGCCCCCTAACGGAATTTTTGATGATTAAAAAATAATATTTTTTCTTCCTTGTAAATGAAAGGTTGAAATTCCTTAAGGGTTCTTCAGAGTTCCTGAATTACGACCGCCCGTACATTTTGCTCTGGGAAGTTTCAAAGTACTAACATATTACATGCTGTATGTGTTGGTACTCGGCGCTCCTTTCAGAGAGCATTTTCTAAGGCGAGTCACGAGCAGCGTGAATTCCACTTGCGTTTCCGTTTTAAAAGACCTCGAGAACGGAACGGTACTCTGAGCGGAGATGACAAACCTAGGCATTATGTATCAGGGTGACGTCCGGCAGACGTCACAGAGGAACTGTGCATATTGCAATCAACGTATGTACAATGCCAAAGACGTCAGGAGGATTTCGAGGAGGCGCCTTTGGACAGGTTAGGTCGGGACGAACGAAGGTAAGGAGGAAATGAAAGATAGGTGCGAATGATGTCTCGACTGACCTGTCCAAAGCAATAGCCACGAGATGTAAGATGGATGCTGTGCAGCAAAGGACGTCACTGCTTGTCCACATGTCGCAGAGCTCAGGACCCAAAGCCCACTCGTGGGTCACCTCGTACACGGCTCCTGTCAAGAACGCCACACTAAAACGGCTTCAATTCTCATTTAACGACAAGACTGTGTTCTTCATTAACGTGTATAAAGACGCGCGTGGATTTGCCAATTTGCCAATTTGCCAATTTGCCATTGTAAATGCATTTAAATGTAGTTGAACTTACCCAGCGGCATAACGAGACAGGCGACCAGTAGATCGGCAACCGCTAACGAAAGGATCAGATAATTTGCTACGCTCTGAAGATTCCTCTCGAGCAGAATGGCGGCTATCACGAATACATTTCCTGAAACAAGAGGAAATAGAATTACATGGCTAAGATTACTCTTTGTTAGAAATTTTTCTTTCCTCTTCTCGTTACTCCTGGGTCCTCGGGTCGCACTCCGTGCTAGGGATTTGGCTCGGAAAAGTTTAATCTTCTTCGCCGAGGCAATTCGGCGGGAAATGAGAAATTATCCTAAACGTAACTTTATATACATTCGACATGGAATTTCGGATCTGTTAGAAAAATAGAGACCAAGCAAACTTCCTTGTAAAGTTTTTCAGGTAAAAACACTCGTTTCAGTCATTCTCACTGTACCTTCGGATCTCGTCCGAAATTCGTATCTTAGCAATTCAATGTACCTGTCGCGGGGTCGCGTGTACGGCAGTACGATTTAATTAATATTTTTGGAATACGGATTAAATTTATAACGTCGATCGCTCTACGAGGTGGAAGGCCGAAAAAAAATAAATATATCAATTCCTGACGCGACACGGAGACACGTGACAGTAACGAATATATCGGCGGCGAACCGTAGAAAAGGAAAAAAAAAAGTTCCGCCTGACAATAGCGTTTTTGTTTCGGCATTTCTGAGCCGTTGAAAAATCCTTTTGTTATACGTAACAAACGCCGATGGTTCTCGTGCTTCAGCCATTGTGCCAGGAAGACAGCCCGGCGACCCCCGACATTGTTGGTTAAGGGATGATTTCGAGACAGGCGTTTCGCGGCTGCGAAACTTCATTTTACAGCCCTTACACTAGGTGGGACAGGGGCTGGGCTGGGGGGTTGTAAAACGATACAACTACGACTGGCAGAAATATAATGTTGCTAGAGAGACCGACAGGTAGGGGCGAGAGGAGCATTTGAGGGATGGAACGACGAGACTTTCGTTCGTTACGTCACATATATTTTTTTATTACCCCCACAAAAGTCCTCGCGTATCGTTGCGCAAATATCTGCACTCTCGTAACCTCACGTATACGCACATTATATATATCTATAGGTATAACAGTACTCTGAAAATTTTCCACAAACGCATCAGATCTTGGATCACCGAGATCAGACAATGTTATATGAGCTTCTTTGGTTTGATCCTCGAAAAAAGAAGATTTAAAAAATTCTTCGAAATCCATTCTCGACCTTCGTCGGAAGGTCGTGAGAGAACACGAGGGTAAAGTTTTTCGATTTTCAAAAAGCTACTACCACCCCCCCCCCCCCCC